GACATAAGACACTGGAGGGTAGGGGAGGCCAGGTGACGTCAAGGGCGAGGGGAAAAAAAGGTCACATATGACACATATGCAATACCCTTTGTAATACTTTAAGCAATAAAAAAAAAACGAAAAGAAATTGAGGTTGAGCTATAGAGGACCAATGCCAGGAAGAGGCACATCTTTATTTTTTAATTAAATTTATTGGAGTAACATTAGTTCATAGGATCATACAGGTTTCAAGTGTACATTTCTATGATATAAGATATGTATATTGTACTGTGTTTCCACCACCCAGAGTCAAATAATCTTTTGTCACTATATATTAGCCCCCTGTTCCCCCCCAACCTCACTTCCCATCCTCATCTCTCTGGCAACGACCACACTGCTGTTTTTATCCAGGAGTTTTCATTTCATATTCCATATATGAGTGAAATCATATGTTTTTTAACTTTTTTCTGACTGACCTATTTCACTTAGCTTAATATTCTCAAGGTCCATCCATGTTGTCTCAAATGGCAGTATTTCATCTTTTCTTATGGCTGAGTAGTATTCCATTGTGTATATGTAACACATATTCTTTATTCAGTCCTCTATCACAGGATCTTTGGTTGTCTCTATGTCTTGGCCACAGTGTATAATGCTGCAGTGAATATAGGGGTGCACCTTTGTGAATGATTCCTCAAAAAAATTAAGAATAAAGTTACCATATGACCCAGGTATGTACCCAAAACACTTGAAAACATGTAATTGATAGCTTCAATTCCAAATGACCTTCAATTCTTGCCACTCCATTCTGGCCTGCATAGTTTCTGTTGAGAAATCAGCTGACAGTCATATGGGCATTTCCTTAGAATTGAAGGTCACATAAAGAGCTTCACAGACAAGAAAAAGCTAAAGGAGTTCATCACCACCAAACCAGCATTATATGAAATGTTGGAGGGTATTCTAGAAGAAGAAGAAGAAGAAGAAGAAGAAGAAGAAGAAGAAGAAGAAGAAGAAGAAGAAGAAGAAGAAGAAGAAGAAGAAGAAGAAGAAGAAGAAGAAGAAGAAGAAGAAGAAGAAGAAGAAGAAGAAGAAGAAGAAGAAGAAGAAGAAGAAGAAGAAGAAGAAGAAGAAGAAGAAGAAGAAGAAGAAGAAGAAGAAGAAGAAGAAGAAGAAGAAGAAGAAGAAGAAGAAGAAGAAGAAGAAGAAGAAGAAGAAGAAGAAGAAGAAGAAGAAGAAGAAGAAGAAGAAGAAGAAGAAGAAGAAGAAGAAGAAGAAGAAGAAGAAGAAGAAGAAGAAGAATGAACAACAAAATGGGAACAAATACATACCTATAAACGAATCTAAAAATCAAAATAAACAAGTAAGAAATATAATGAACAGAATAAACTGGTGAATAAAATAGAGTCAAAGGCATGGAAATGGAATGACAATTTACAGAGGGAAGAGGGGTGGGGGAAAACGATTAAACAAATATCTTATCTGCATATATGCATTACCTATGGACACAGACAATAGTATGGCGAAGCCTTGGGGTGGCAGGAACTGGGTGAAGTGGGGCAATGGGGGATAAAAAAGAGGGACATCTGTAATAATCTCAACAATAAAGGTTTTTTTTTAAAATAGAACATGTAAATTAGTTTTGAAGAATATGAATCATCCTGAAGAGGAGTCAGATCTAAACAAAAGAATCATCATATGAGAAACCATCAAACACAGAAAAATGTGAAATGTTTGATGAACTCTCAGTAATTCATCCATGATATAGGTAGAAGATACCTATGAAAAATTAAAAATTATTCTTTTTCTCATATATATTTAAATTTCACAAGAAAAAATAAAGTAATACTTTTAATATTCATGATCTTTTTCTGTAGTAGAATTTCACTCCTGTCATTTAATTTGACATTTAGATTATCCAATGAGAAAAATAGGGCTGGGCTTATGTCATAGATTACATCTGCACTTTATTACTATTTATTAATTTATTAATTAATTTATTTATTTATTTAAATCTTTATTGTTCAGATTATTACCTTTGTTCCTCTTTTTTTCCCAAATAACTCCCCTCCTCCCAGTTTCCACCCCTCCCTCCGCCCTCACTCCCTACCCACTGTCCTCATTCATAGGTGCATGATTTTTGCCCAGTCTCTTCCCGCATTTCACACACCCCTTTTCCCCCCAAGAATAGTTAATCCAGTCCCTTTCTATGTCCCTGATTCTATTATAATCACCAGTTCATTCTGTTCATCAGATTATTTATTCACTTGATTCTTAGATTCACTTGTTGATAGATGCATATTTGTTGTTCATAATTTGTATCTTTACCTTTTTCTTCTTCTTCCTCTTCTTAAAGGATACCTTTCAGCATTTCATATAATACCGGTTTGGTGGTGATGAATTCCTTTAGCTTTTCCTTATCTGTGAAGCTCTTTATCTGCCCTTCAATTCTGAATGATAGCTTTGCTGGTTAAGTAATCTTGGTTGTAGGTTCTTGGCATTCATCACTTTGAATATCTCTTGCCACTCCCTTCTGGCCTGCAGAGTTTCTGTTGAGAAATCATC